CTTTGGTATGATGTTACAGTAAGTCCAATCCGTTCCTCCTATGTTATACGATTTGGCATGCACTTCACAGATGAGTTTCTTCATATCGCACAAGATAAAACCGCATCTTTTATGCTGTACGTTTTGTTTTACTATTTGCTTTAATTCAGCAGAGTGCTTACTGGCAGTTGTATCACTTTTCTTGTTTATTGGCTGATGTCTCCGAAACATAGGCTATTTATGCCAAGGTGTACATTAGATTTAGGGAAGGGATATAGTGCATCTCTGAATTCACAGTAGACTTTGTTGCAGTGGTGAATGCCATCTGTCCCGATCCGAATGTCAAAGTGAGAGGGTCCGAACGGTCAATCACCATTTCAAGATGTTCCATATCAGCCTTGAGGCGTACATTGTTCACAAACCGCTAACATAATATGATTTTAGCAACATCATCAGCAAATTGAGTTTTGGTTATTCCAGGAATGTCAGCCAGATTTGGTCCCAGATATCTCTCCACAGTGGTTCCGAGGGCAACACTAAAGTGCGAAACTTATATTGTGTGTACTTAAACGAACGATGTTTTCAATCTAATCAGCTTTATGCCTTAGTGTCAGATTGCAAACGAAGTCAGTATTCTCCTGCTTCAAGACATTCGGAAATGGAGTCCCAACATATGTAGAAAGGGACTTTTGAACACCTATCGGTATTTGTTTCAGGATATTTGTTAAGTGAATGGAGTCCCCCAGAGAAAATAGTGTTGGGCTGTGTCAAATGGCGTCCAAAACGTCAAATAACTAGGGTGCAATTCGGGTATGCCGGATTTTGTATGCACAGACTAGAGCCCAACGCGATTCAGTCCTGTGTAGTTTAGGCATACAGTCTGAATATTTGTATTCCGTGGATCTCCTCGGCGTTTGTTGTTGTATTCATGTTGAACTTTCGATTGTCGCTCGGGATTTATTTTGAGTTCACAATGATATTCTGTATGATTCATTAAAATTGTCAAATCTTTTTGTGATTGATGAAACACAGTGTCATCTGTTTCTCAGTTTCCTAATGGCTCGTTCAGATTCAGCTGCACGTTGGCATTTCTGGTTAATTGAGCCCAACATATCGGTCTAGGATATCGATTGGTTTTGCTCGACCTCTATGGTGATGTTGGTATAAGCTCCTTTGTGTGGTTGTGAGCGTCTTCTAATTGTGCTGTCACCTCAGCTTTATTCGTCCTCTTCACTAGTGCTTCGAACCTTTACCAAGTGGAACTAATCTTTCTTGAGTTCGCTACAGCGTTCAGTCAGCCAGTAATACCATCACTGCGTACTTGAACTTTATTGCCTTGAAATCGGTTCGGTTACTCTATGGGCTTAATACTAGCCATTTTCAGTTGGTTCCTTTGAGCAAATTTTAACGGTAAGGCCTTACACAAAAGACCGCTTCACAGAACGGGTTACTTTCGCTTGATCTCAGCGCTTTCCTCCAGAAGAGGAAGACTTTCTCACCAACCGCCTAGAACTAGCTGAGAGACCAGGAGTGCACCCGAACATCATTTTCGGTTAAACCTTGTGCTCTGAAAAGTAACCTTATGCATGGACCTTATTCACGCAGTACGGTTGACGCATCACCAGCTTCCATGAACGATGTAGTGGGTGTTCCATCTGAAACCCCTTCATTTTGACTGTTATCGTCGACGTTACCAGTGAGTGTAGCATAATTCCGTGCCGTTCTTCTTCGCACTCAGTTTGAACTGTTTTCTTTTGTTTCTAATGATTTCGCTTCCGTCGGGTGGTAGCTCAGATAAAAAGTTCACCGTTCCCAACGTACGGTAACAAGATCGTAGAAATGATTAAGTTTTTGAACTGAAAGAGGCCATTTTTGCATTTACGAGTGACCCGCAATGGTGTCAAAATCTCATTCTGATTCCCGTTAGGTTTCTCAAAACGCCACTGGTTTTTTTCTTTAAATGTTGCTGACAAGGCACACATCGGTTTGCGTTCTGGTCCTAGGGTTCCGCTAGTACCGGAGCGAGCGCTCTAGCAAATTTGTATGGCCAGTCACATTATCCATACTTAGGTTGAATCGAAATTTCATGTCAGAGCGGGCGTCTACAGTTTACGTCGTTAGATTTTCGCCAATATGGTGGAGGGTATTGTAGACACTCCTAAAATACCATACAAATCCCCTTTCTACAGAGATCACTAGTAGATACCGGGCAAGAGTGGTCTTTTCTGTGGGAGAATCGGTATGAATTGGTCCGTTGCGAAAGGTCACTATACAGATGAACAACTGTGATTCACCAGGCAAAAACGTTGCTGTAACCTACAGAATAAAATCTGTGCTCTGTGAAGAATAATGATGGCATATTTACTTCATTTCGGGGATAGGTTGGACTGGGTGATTCTTCGACTCATTGTTTGCCATAACCTCTTCCTCAATGAACTTCTTTTTCCCGACGAACAAGGTAGAGGGAACACATTTGATATACGACCTTGTCATGAACGGGTCTAAGAGGTTCCGCTTGGCATTTTCAGTAATAACGTCAAACGGACCCACCAGCGAAAGCGTCCTGTATGCATACCAAGTAGGGACAGTTCCCTTGTGTATCTCTGATCTCCATCATTGTATCTGGAGCTGACTTTGAATTGGTTTTCGTATGCTCGTGTAAATCACTATCGAATTCGGCCAAAGTCAGCGGACCGATAGACATCAATGTAGTTGTTTAGTACTTCTAGCTTGTTCATTATTCCGCCATTTTCAAAGAATAGCGTTATAAATATCTGCATAAAAATGAATACGAATTGGGCAAGCGACCAAGATGTAGATGGACACAGACAGATGAGTGGGTGTAACCCGTTTGACTGGATGTTAGCGAATGGCCCTTATAACATAGACAAAAATATTTCACTCGCAAATGTTTACAAGGAATATTCCTTAAGAAATTCCTGTCGAACACTGTCACTTTTGGGGGTATCGAACAAAGTATAAAATGATACTTGCATGTGGGAGTACAAGCACCTAGTTGTTCGAGTGTGGTCCCCATCAAATCACCAGATGTTGCCAAGACCTTGCAGTAGAGAACGTGAGAGCTTTCAGCGAGAATACGCCCCAATATTTCTGGAGGGAATGAATAATGGATGCCTCGGACGGGAAAATTAGTTGAAAAGATATCAGTACTTGAAGTTGATCTGAGGCCTCGTTTGAGGCTAATGAAACCCTTCAGAAAAGGACGAGGAACAACGGTAGGGAACAAATTCGGGGGTAACACCATGGTCGAACATAAACTAAGTTTTCCAATGGAGAAGGGGATTGTTTAGGGAACATGCAATCAGTACGTGCCACCCAACACACGAAATTGAGAGCAAGTGCACTAAGATTCGAGAAATATGCTCATTTGCACACCAAGTTGGCTTCAGCGGTTGACTGCGCCGAATTCCACCCGAATTTCCCGTTTGTGTTCTTCAACCGAACGCCTTACACAAAGTTCGCCTTATGTTTCAGTTAGTACGATATTTGAGATCTCGGAAGGCTGCAACCAAGACCCGTCTGTAGGATATGCGCTATCCACGTTGTGGTATCCTCCAGTCGGAACTTTGTCCAACAAACAGGACATGGCGACATTTTCTTTGCATAGTCGAGCCTTGGGAAACGAAATTCCAGCTAGTTTATGTTGCGGATTCATTACAAAACTGGAGTCCAACCTCCACATCCTAGCGGCCATCGATCGGCAGTCGCTAGAGCACAGGTCATACAGCAGTGCAGCATGGATCTTGGATCAGAGTGGTCCCATATTATTGGCAAGAATGTGATCTAAATCGACACTTTATAACCGGCTGGTTGATCGGTCATGAAATCTGAGGTGCAACCGGATTTTAGGTTGGTCTGGTTAAAGTTACACGCGAGTGTAGCTACGCTGTCATTGATACTGGATACAAAAGCGAAAATGGATTCATCCGTGAATTCACAGTCGGTATTGAATGAACATTTGGGACCAAGGCTCGGAAACCTGCAAACTCTAAATTAGAAGCGCCCGGGTTTGTAGTCACCATTGAGGCATTCTACCCCCTGCGTGAATATAAAAGTAAACTTGAGTGGACAAATTTCGAGCAGGATGAGCAAACATGAGAAAACCCAACCGTGTTTTTTGTCTTTCGTTACATAATTTCAGTGAAAACTTTTTCAGGGGGAAATTTCATGAAATGTGGATTCCAGTTACTGTTTAATCATCAACATTGGGCTGCTAGAAAATATGTAGTGCAAAAACTCATCCCGAGCAACCAACTTGGGCCTTTCGACCTTTGAGGCGACTTACTTCACGAACACGATAAGTGGAATGGGCATATTGGAAGCAGTCTTTTGACGCTATCCACCACTGACATCTCCACGACTCACGGTGCACAGTGGTATCAGTAATTGAGGTTTGGAAGGAAGGATCGATTCATCGGCCACTTTGATCACCATGCTTGATTAATGCAAATTTCTAGTGACTCCAAAAATATATTCGACAACTACCAATATACGGACGAGTTAAGGTAGCGTCGTCAATTCACAGAAGCTTGGCGACCTGTTTATTGCCGTCTTGATTGTGATAAAAATCGTAGTAATCACTAGTATCATGCTGGTAAAAGGCCATTCAAGTTTTGAGATGGCTCAGTGGTTAAGGTGCGAACTTTCTGCTCGTAACATCCGTAGTTTTAACCCAACCTCAGCATCTCGATTGCTCCTGTCTAAGCTTGAGCAACCTGGCAGCATCTCAGCCATCCTGTTTCCTTCAGGTGGCATTGCAGGTAGGCACCGAACGGTGGTTACATTTGGAAGATTGTTTTTATTCTCGTTTATTCAGGCACCCGACTGTATTGCCATTTCAGCCTAGTCACAGCGTCAGCTGATGTAGAAGGGTCACAACGACAGCTCACTCGTTCACTGTTTGTTCCTATTAGCTGGGCAAAGCGATCGTCCACATTATCCACACCGCGAGTTGTTTTACAAATCCCTATCTGATATCGTCTATTGTCATCTGTTTGTAGCATTTGCGACCGCCTGGGTGTTTATGGCGAAGGAGATTTCAATTTCAAACATGCTTTCGTCTACCTCACAATCATCAATAACGTTTCCCAAGTGGTAAGTTCGCGCTCGCATACTTGATATCGTCCTGTCCTTTAATTATCCCGCATGTTTATTCATTGCTTAGTGGTCAGTCCCTTCGCAAATGAACTGATGTGGGAGTCGCAGCTGAGTAACAAATGCTCCTATCATATCTGACTGGGCTGGGGTTTATGGGCATTGTGGCTTCTTATGCATCTCACTCACGACGTGTACCGTACTACAGCTCATGTTGTTCCGCTCCGTCGATGCACTTCATCACAAAGGCTGTCGGCGTACTGCCGAAAACACTCAGTTTACTTTAATATATGTACCAACTAAGTGAACTTTTGCGGTATAACAATCGCGGATGGTTGTTGCATGCTGATAGTAGGTTCATTTCTGGTCTCGTTTTGCTGTTTGCAACACCAGAAACTTCTTCAAACAACTTAATGCAGTTCCGTAACAATGGATACGTTAATCCGAGTCGTCCCGTTGATGAATGGTTCTCTCTAGAAAAAGGGTTCTTCCGTCCTCACCACGAATTTATCTACAAATTCAAATCGAATGTATCAGGCTATTCGTACGGGCGGTCTCATGAGGATCCTTGCAAGTACATTTTCGAATTTTAGGGCTGGTGACCATCATGTTCTTCTGAACATTTCTGAGCTCTTTCCGAAACGTATCCCATGCTATCGCTTTGTGAAAACCGGTCAATAAAGGCACCAATAAGCATCATTTTGTCATATTCAGTACGATCGGGACGAAAAACGACCATTATTATGATGATCAAACTACTTATCTATTGCCTAGGAGTGTCCGGAGCCCCTAAATAAAGAAGTGATTAGCAACATAGTGGAAAGGGACATGATGTTCACAATCACAGGAGTTGTTCGCACATCCTTCTGAGTTCAGTCAGCCACCCACCCCACCAAGTGCATCTTTCGTGCGCACCACTACCGGCGAGTCTCCACTAGTTAAGTATGCTCTTAGGGTAAGGCCTCCACCATTCTTGAATCGCGCCCACAGAGAGTTAAGTTAGTGCTCCATATGTTACCAGTGAACTTATTTGAAACGAAGTTACCTGATCTGCATCGGCTTGTATCTCAGCCTTCATCCCCTTCATCCTTTTGCGTATCCCGACAGCCACTTATCTGACCCTTTACCATTCGCCTTTATCGAGTTGTGCATAGCGACATGTTCACTACTGATTCACTTCCAATCACTGGGGCACCAGCTGAGACTCATTCCAATGCATTTCCTACTAAATCAGCATCGTAAATCCCATAGTTTTGATGTGGTGTTGATTGACGATTCAAACGTTCAGTTTGGGAGACCAGATGGCTGTCATCCGGATGTCACTGGTAGTGTTGATGAAGGATTCTTAATCCATTTATGTGAGGACAATGGACTATTCCATTGCGATACCCATTTTCGACACTGCTTCCTCTAAGTTGTCATGTGGTCGCCCCCATTCCCTAACGAACAACGGACTCAAATTGAACATACCCTAGTTTTTTTCCAATGGTGGGTATGTGTACCGAACTGTAGTGTGCCTTTAGCTATGTTTCAGCTTACCTTCGGTAGATTTCGCGTAAGAATGATTACCTTTGATCACTCGGATAAATCGTGTACGCTTCTGCGACTGCGCTGATATAGGAAGATACTATCGCGGATCACTGTTTTACTATCTGCGACCCTTTACAACCTGCAAGTTACCTGTTCGTGCGGTTATCGGACCTGATAATGAAACGGTCGCTGAATACCTATCAACCTGCTCGATCTACGGATCGCCCTTCCAGTCATGATCACATTTAACCCCGTAACCAGTCCGTATAATCATCCGCCTCTCACAGGTGTGGTCCTGAGATCTGTTGGTGTGGAAGTCTATCATAGTAGGAAGCCGATTCTGTTCCATCTAATCAGGATGGAAGACAGTTGGATCCGGTCATTATCTGATAGTGTAGATGAACACCTGCAACGATAGCTTACTGGCTCCTTGTTCTACCAATTGATAACCCACCTATCAAGGTTTCTGGCCAGCTAGTGCTACGGACGCCTCGAATCTGGCGTGTTAGCGATCGTTCGGTTTACTGTATCTGTATCCACTTCACTCTGTCAGTCAATCTGGCGCTGTTATTCTTGTTATTCCACACCAGCGGAAAGCACTGAACTCGAGTTATCACGCTTTGGGGTTCAGCCGCGGTGCATATTTTCGGCTTCTGATCATCAGACTTTCGGAGAGAATTCGTTAAACCATTGCCGGTCTTTTTATGCTTGTTCCTGAAAGTGATTCCACTTTTAACGTTATTCTAGAAGAAACATAACCGGCTTGTTTGCCATTCTTTGCCTACTCAATGTTATAACACAGTCGGTGACGAGCCGCCTTGCGGACGTAAATCGTTTAGCTGTAGAAACCTTTCGGTGCCTAGCTGCCGAGCTACTCGGAGGAAGCGCGAGGGCTGGGATACTACCAGCTTGCCCAAGCCGAGACGCAGTGGTCAGGTTCGAACCACGGACCTTCCGGTCGGTATATTCGCGCTCTAACCACTGAGTCATCTCGCTCCATTGCGGACGTTAGATACGGTGGAATATTTCTTTTGTATAGGAATATATCGCTCCAGGATTTGAATCAGTTAACTTTTATGCTGATGGATTGAATACGCCACTTAACAAATCAACGCCAATCGAATTCGCACAACAACTTTCAACATGTATCTCTTTACCTTCTTCGCAGTGGGCTTTGTACTGCCTCATCCTGTTCTATCAATGTACGAAGGAGGAACTGCGGCCGATGAGTCCGGTGTCCAAATTTTTGTGTGTCAAGTTTGTCGTTTTCATGTCATTTTGGTAAGTTCAGCTCTACAACTTCATAGTCTCGTGTGGACCGCGTCTACGTCTTCTAGCCATTGTCGATCAGAATGCGCCAAAATTAGCACAGTACCTCCAAAGGTTTTTTTAATGCGGTTTATCAGTACTACCTGACTGCTTAAATGTGGGTTACTCTTTGAGTTCTTTTCTACTCAACTTTTTTCAGTTCAAACCAACTGACCAACTGCCTAAAGACACTTACTCATGAAGTGCGTACCCTCGCAGAAAAACAAAGCATGTGGTTTGTCACTGCCCGCCTTATAGTAGCCGTCCTATCATCACCAACCTCATTTCTCACATTTTTTATCTCTCTGACGGACTTCACTGTGTAAATGTCATCCTGGATTGTGCCTTTGTTTCGAAAGTTGAATCTTCTTGCGGCCCTGTGTACTCTCCACCACTTTCTGATGACCTGACGATACACAAATGGTATGATTAGTCGCAGCGGTCTTATACCGTTTTGCTTGAACATTCCCATGGTTTGAACAGGGACACAGTGACGAACGTTAATATTTTCAGGATCTTGTGGACAGGTCAGTACATATTTAGTGGTTAAAATAGGGGTAGATCGTGAAAAAAGCAGGTAAGATTGGTTACTGAATTACAAGACACGGAGAGCCGAAAGGTTGGTTGTTGGAGTACCCCCATGCCGCCGGGGCTTGCTATTTGGAGACAGTGTATGTAAGGTTACGGGAACCACGGTGCTCTGTGTTCAGGTTCGGAAATAGGATCTTCCGATCCGATACTTCACATGCTTGACATGGATCAATCGCCACCGCACATGGAGTTTACATAAACTGTTTACGGGCAAAAAACGGCTTTTTTTGAGATCGTCGGCATTCGCTTGTTCCAGCTGTTGTTATAAGTTATTCAGAGAGGCCGCACAACTAGCAGTTGAAACAATTGCAGTTTGACTGCATGACACCCGTAATGTGTAGCCTAAGGATTGTCCTCAGAACGTCTGTCTGTTATCGCTATCGATTTGTACATCTCAGGAGCAGCCACATTATTATTAATTTGTTTGTTATTAGTTTATTCGACTGCTTACATCACACTAGCTGCCGCGCTACGGACGAGACTCTTTGACTTTCTAATCGAACGGTCATTAGGCTAGTTCTCTAGAAGAATTCCCCACAAGAGGCCATGGTTTAGGGTGCCCGTGGGAATAAAGTACCCGGGTTACTGGTGGTTTATATGTTCAATTTTGCACGTAGATTTTTTACTCTTTGAGTTTTTTTTACCACAAAGGACTTTTCAAAGGTGGCATCCCAGGAGAGAGATAACCTTTTCTAATGATAAATTCAGTGTTTGTCACTTTGTGGACCTCACCACACCGGGGTCTAGCATCTTTATAGTAAACTAGCGATCGGATCTTAAAAACCTGCCAAACGAAAACTTCTCAGGTGGAAATCGATGGCATCGGTCACGGACGAAGGATCTGCTTAGCTGTGCTTTTTGTTGTACTCTACTAAAAGTGTCCACACGCAATCCCACACCCGTCGCCCGATACTTATCATCTCCCTTACCATCATGATGAGGAACCCCGTAGTAGTGAGTGACTGCACTGAAGGCTTATACACACTTCCCTTGAGACTCATGACACCATAGGTGTCTCAAATTAGCAAACTCGACCCGAGCCTTGCAGATTCGTGTGTTGACCTCATCTGTCGTACTACACTCGGAACTAGCACAACTTCCAAGATACGTACACACATTCGAGTGCCTCCCCCTGGATTGTAGGTGGCGGCCTCAGTGACCGTGTGTTCATGAGCACAACCTTACACTTTGTGAGCGCAAAGAGCATGCCAATGAGTGGGATGACTTTGGTCAATGCATTAATAAAACAAGTGTGCTTTCTCTTCAGTGACGAGAACGATTTTGTGTGCATATTCCAGATCAACAAGGCCTTCGCCAGAGACTACTGAACACTATCGTTCAGCTGTAGCAACCATTCGGTGCCTAGCTGCCATACCACACGAAGGTTGCACGAGGGCTGGGATACTGCCAGGTCGCCCAAGCCTAGACAGGGGAAGTCGAGTGGCAGAGGTCGGATTCGAACCACGGACCTTCCGGTCAGTAAATTCGCGCTCTAACCACTTGGTCCATCTCGCCCCTATTGAATACTAGGGTTTTGATGACCCTCCAGCGTTCATCTCATTGTTTCACCGATCTCAAAATTAAATGGGAATGGAGAGAGTGGGACACAGCTTTGTGTACGGAAGCCTGAGAATACCAAAAAACTTATGATGTTCACAAACTTCCGAGACATTCGTTGATGGGTAAGTGTGTCAAATAGGGCAAACCGGTTAACCGAGTCGAATGCACCGGGAAACCCAGGAATACTGTAATTATGGGTCGTTTTTGCGTATGACGTTGTTGTAGCAACTGACGAGACGGGGAGATTTGGTCAACGCACCCCCGTTTGGCGACAAAGCACAAGTGGCGCCATCAGCCGGTTTTAAGCTGATATCCCTGTGGTTGCCACACTCACTCCTGGCCCCTTTTTTAAGGCGGGCACTATCACTGACTCTCCCCAGTTGTCTGGGAGAGATTCCTTTTCACAAATGCTTGTAAACAGATCAGACACGCTGATTGAGGACTAGGAGCTCCGCCGCGCTTGAGAGAGCATATGCGGTCATAAACCTCCGAGGCCGTAGGAGGTTCTATTTTCACTACCAGGATTCTACGTCATCTGTAAGCTTCAGATGCGTTGCAGTTGGTGGCCACGTGAGTCGTTTTTCGAACTATTCTACCCACCAGTCGAAGCGTTCTACTCCATTCTGGTCCTTGATGGTTTTGCTCACAGGTGATTTCCGGGAGGTGGTCGCACAGATCAAGTCAAATACTTTTCGGGCATTGCCGGCTTTGTGGACCCCTTCCACTTGTTTAGCTCAACTGTCCTTTAGTTCCTTTTGCTTCTAGGTAATCATTTTAGGTTGTTGCACTTGCCTTCCATAGGCTACCTGCAACCAGCGACAAAGTTTGGGTGATTTCTGTGTGCGATTTCTGTTCTCAGCACTTTTGATGATGAGCATCCGCGCCGTATCCAAGCATAGTCACCTATTCTTCTGCAAATTTTCTCACCAGTGCGAAAGTGTGGAGTGCCTTTATAACGTTAAATCCAAACACAGAGTGGCTAGTCTTAGTGACAAAATAGAAGAGTTCACTGAGTAACATTTGGCATCAGAAATTGGTACTTCGTGCCAACCAAGATTTGATACAAGGTGACGTGTAGTGCTATACAAACAGATTTCTGATAAATGAACTGTAAGCTGGAATCGTCATAAGGCTTCTTCTGAATTCGGTACTGCTGTCTCCATCTTAAAATCAGTCGTTTAACCGGATAAACTAAAGAGAGACCTTTCGAGGTGAGCAAAGAATATGTGATGTGTTCCATACCACTTATTACAACATGATCAGTAACCGTGAACCAACAGGTTTTTCTACGTTTATGGATCGTTCGGGTGTGACCCAGCTTATCTCATTTGTGACATTTGGAACTCCTACGCGTGCATGTATGTTGCGAATTTAATCACCACAAGGGGCACACTTTACGAGGGCTTGATTTCTGTGTCCGTCAGACAGCTGTTCGCTTTTTAACTCCAAATCTGTTTGATCCGATTCTCCGTTGCTTACTATGACAACGAATTCTGTTGCACTGAAACTTACTGAGTTCTCTACGCGATTTTTAGCTTTCTTTGTCAGATGTAGTACAAAGGATATCTGGAAAATACTCATGATGAACGCGAGCCGGTTGAAAACTAGAATCTTCAAATGTAATAAGTTGCCGTTGAAGAGATGGATGTTAAATGATGGCAATAAGTTCGTCTCCCAGCTGCGTCATCAAAATTGCACTCAGAAGCTTTTGTTTGCAGTTGGAAATTAATTCCCGTATTTCCGGATTCGGATAATGTGCCCAAGGAAAGAAATTTAGCGTTATTGGTAACCCCAAAAGTTGTAGGTTCAAAGTGCTGAATTAAAGTCACGTTAATTTTCTTGTATTCTAGAGTAATAGGAGAATTAGACTCCCCAGGGTATCTTTTGTGATGGGACTGAGGAAGCTTGCAGTCTTCTCCTGCGTCATTACCATTTTTGAAATCGGTGAGGATATTCTTCAATGCCTCTAGCACAGGAATTATTATTCAATAAATCTAGAGGTATTGGGACTGTGTTTGGAGATCCAGGACTGGCTGATCTCCAGACAGCTCTACATTTGCATTGTTCGATATCAAGTGCGCGTATGCCTTACGGAAACCTGATGGCTTCCATAAGTTCTGGAAGCACTCTCTAAAGAACTTTTTGTGACCTTCAACACAAGACTTCTCCGTAACACTGTTCAGAACAACTAGTTTGGCTCTGTCCGTATTGTATAGGTCACCAGATAAAATATTCACCCGAATTACTGGCAGGCTTTCCAGGATAACTGTTTCGGCGAATACTTCAATTACCTGATGACGTCTGACGGTGGTTTTATAATGGATTATGAATACTGCGAACAAGGTACCGATGGCTTTGATGTTCCTCACTTCGAATTCGAACTCTCTTGCCTTCCCCTGCAAAAGTATTCCAAAAGTTGTGGTGTTTTTGGCATGACGGGGAAGTTTTCAGGCCCTTTTACTTAGGTTTCCTCATTTAGTATAATGGGTTGCACTCTGTAGCTTACTAACTTTTACCTTTCTGTAGGTGGCTTCGTATTTCTGTGTGCCTATCCGGCACCTAATTAATCCGAGACTTAATGACACAGCTGGTTGCTGTGACCAGCATTAATTAGGAACCCATTTTCTTTCTGAGAGCTTATCACCGAAAAGTGTTCTGATCTCCAACCAGGTTCCATTTCTCGCCTGCAATAAGCTGCAAACCTCTGAATAGCAAGTGGCTACGGTTTATCCCATCAATAAGGTCATTATTCCGTATCCGAAGGACTGGTTCCTTATTAAGGGGTTTAATTGCACCGCTAGGTCATAACCTAGTCTTCAACACTTACCAGGACAACATGTAGTTTAAGCCTCGAGCAGCAAGCGTGTGTTTCTGTACATTTCAGTAGAAACTTTGTGAACACGTGTAGGTATCGGATCTCGATCGATCACGCCCACAAGTCTCATATTTCCGGCCCGACCCAAAGCTAAGTTCGTCATCGGCGTTCACTCGGCCGTCTGTCTATATATTTATGTCAAAATGCGACATTGAATCAGCTCTTTAGCAGCACGAACTCATTCACTTACAGGCTGTCGATCAAATAGTGTCACAATACCTCCTTCAACTACTTTGCTGTCCACTGACATGACACTCATGGCTCAAAACTGTCCTTGAATGGAAGTTGTTTTTTGTTACTTTAATCAAACTTTGGTTCAAGTAACTCGACTTTATCGGTGGAAGTCAACGACAGGTTCGATAAACTTTTTGACCATTCACCAAGATTCCAATGGTTCTGATTCAGCCAGTCACTGTTCGGACATATACACCTTTCACACATTGCCCCTTCACTTACCATTGACACAATGACGATAGACTTTGGAGATTTGGGAAATTTCATGTAAGATTCCGTCCTATCAATGAGACCAATCTATGTGGAAAGCCCAGATGCACTGCGTACAGCTGTTCCATCCATATCAGGAGTCATGAGCAACGCGCATCTTACGAAACTCAGAGTATCGAATCTGCGACTTTCAGGTCAGTGGCCGAACACTTGTCTGTTCGGCCTCGAGTAGCGGGATCGCACTGCGATCACACGACGACCAATCTGTAAACTTCTCAGAGGAAGATTAATTTTACAAGGTGAGTGAGACTCCCATCTGAGAATTACCAGTCAATACACTGCCAGTTGTGGTTTCGTGATTGAAGGATGAACGGTTTGTATTCTGTTCAGGTCAAAACTAATCGTCCTTCTGTTCAGCCACTTGTGACCGAAGAGTTGAGTGTCAAACCACCGACCGGTGAGCCACAGGTCCGAAGTCATCTGGATTTCACGAGATGCACACTGCTGATGCTTTCCAATAAGCTTGAAGCAGCTGTTTATTGCTTCTGGCTTTTCAGAATAAGTTGACCTCGCTGACAGGAGTAAATCTCCATTGAAAGTTCAAATATGGCCGCTTGTTACTTTCAGTTACGGCTTCATTTGGGGCGAGATGGCCCAAGTGGTTAGAGCGCGAATTTACTGACCGGAAGGTCCGTGGTTCGAATCCGACCTCTACCTCTCGACTTTCCCTGTCTAGGCTTGGGCATCCTGGCATTATCCCAGCCCTCGTGCAACCTTCGTGTGGTATGGCAGTTAGGCACCGAAAGGGTGCTACAGCTGGACGATTTTTTTACGACTTCATTTAGGAATCCATCCTTGAGTAAAAATTCAGAAGCGTGAGCCTATAATTTCTGGTGTACATTGAGACCTCCGTAATTGGTTAGCACGGTACTGGTTCACCGTAAATATTCGCCCATCTCACCTGTTCTCTGGTGTCGTGAAAAATATTTTCATAGTCCACCAATCGGCCAACCTAAAGCACAAATAGTGAGACCTCCGTTTCTCAGAAGATTCGTCGTCAATACATGTCACGTTGAGGTGATGTGTGGTTGTTGCGCGAGATCGCCCAGAGATTAAGCGCGATCCTGCTTCCCAGAACGCCCGTAGCTCGAACTCAACCGTTGAGATTTGGTCTGCCAGGCAGTATATCAACTCTCGTGTTTTCTTCCAGTTGCAAGGACCTATGCACCCAAATTGAGCTGCAGCAATAAGGACACGAGAAGTTTTGTGGCTTACCTTCTTGAGTTCTCGAACTCTCACTCAGATACCCAATATCACTGGCCCAGTCTTGTAGACGCTTTTAATTGGTCATTATCGAGTCCAACATGATTCCCAGTATTTCTAGATAATATCCGACAAAACAGCAGCTGCTTGTTATTATGGTCTGCACCTCACCGCTGTACCGTATGCGTAACTACATGTAGCCTACATTCAACCACATAAATATGAAACAATTTTTCGATTAGCCCTGTCCGTGGATAGTTTTGAAAATTCGTAACGGATAACTTTCAGGAACACCAAAACGTTATGTTGCACGTCATACAAGTGGATACTTGGAAATCTTTTATCTTCTTTAAGGGTGATTTCAACCAAAATTGCTTCATATACGTCCGTGTTCGGAAGTGAGTGGTCCCACTCCATGGTGCGATACTTCATTATTGCATTAATTGACCAGCTTAAACTGTTCTCTTCCATTAAGTGGTGTAGGATTTATCTAGGCCAAGGTGACTGGGTACTTCGGGAGACAGTATTTGTTACTTATATGACAGCTTCTTTTCGTCTGGAAAAGAGTTACAATTCAATTGGAAATCAGTCTAACGCAAGTCTTGAACACCATCAAGGTGGGAGGTTTCATCATATATAGATATGTGAACGAGACAGAGGACGTGATCTTCGGTTCTCGCTGATTTTATCAGCCGGGTTTCTTCATCGACTCAGTTGGCTGATGGTTGTAAGGCTGTTGGAAATGTATTATTGTGACGACGCTGATGAGCAGATTTTGGCCTATCGGCAGAGCTTTTTCTGCGAGGATGTCAAAGTCATTAATCCGCTCGTATAGATGAATGCAAACACCGTATTGTTTTTTCTTAGCCGTGGCAAAATAAATGACTGAACCATCAAAGACACAGTAACATTAAATACGTAAATTCAAATTCTATAGTCCTAATGAAATCCACAAAATGAGTTTCTGAAGGTTCAGATAACCGTTGTCACATCTGCCGTTGCTACTGCTCGGCGCGAGGCACCACGGTAACCAAGCCCTATTAGACTGAACCCTTAATTTCGTGCTGGAGCACGGTGGAATCTCTTGTAACGGAATGTAACAAAAGCTTTTGAATACGGTGCTGATTTACAGCCGAATCGTGTACCACCTTTGATTCGAAAATATGTGCTACTCTTGGCATAATATTTGCAGGGCGGTGGTTTTTTTGAGGATAAAAGTCACGTTTTTTATTGTGGTGGTGATTTTTGTGAGTGATGCACTTTACCTCTATGATAAAGCGGTCTTTTGTGGACATCTGAGGTAGGTAACCTTATTAACTTCAATATTTTATTTTACCACTACTATCTGAAGTCCAATAAGCTACCTACTACTACTTACCCGCCCCAAAGAGGCATCACAATCAGAATATTAATTGCTCCTTAGTCAGTTATGTCATTATGTTTCCTTATTTCCTAGCCATAACATGATTTGGCACTCCATCCGGATGAAATTTCGAAATTTTACCATGGGGCGATAACATGCACTGGAGGGCATGCATCTAGCCAATGGCAATAAGTAACGCACGATAATTCAACAATAGTCGGTCTATCGATAACTCCCTGGAACGCTGGTGTCATCAATTTACTCTTCGTATGATTGTCCAGAGCTGTGACTAGGATGTCTGAAAATTATCACTTTTAATGGTTCAGATAATCGAGATCTAGCAGTCTTTATGCAAAACATCAAGTTGCCGCATTACTACATCCACAAGGTTACTGGATGTTTGAAACTTTCTATCCAACCGAAGTGCACACTTTTACGCCTTGACAAAATCCGTCTGAAACACACAGGCAACTTTTTGTCGTTGAGCCTCTGCGGAAATGCGACTATCTCCTGATATTCTATCACTCGGTTTCCCCAACTTGTGCTGTGGGGGGTTCCGGTCAACGACCAGATGTTCCTCATACACGACATATTGCCAGTTCAAGTGACGAGCTGTAAGAATAATATGAAGTCCAAGTTTCTCCCTCAGCGTTGGGGTTCTGACCCAAGTCTTCAGTTTCCCCCTACCGAAAACGACAGCGCCATCTTTGGTTAGTTTGGGGTCCAAAGTTTATTCATCATTGCCTGTGTGTGCTGTGAGGTAGAAGAAAGTGGCTAGCCACTCCCGAACTAGGACGAATTAGTCGTGGAAAACGTACATGCGCAACAATGGCCAAGTTCACCAATTTGCCGCCCCCACAATGACAGTTTATTCGTTCACATGTAACTGATTGAGTGACTAGTTTCAAGGTGCCCAGCTTCATAAATCCAAATTGTGTCCACCCAGTCGTCTCATCAACAAAAAGCTAGAAAATTCAGGTTATTTTCCCTTATTTTGTAGGCAGTCCATCCTCATATTCATTCTCGCTGTCACCGGTGTCTTCAAAGATGTCAAGATTTGGGAAATGACTGACGTAGCCTCCATTGGCATTGTCCTCCAGGTAAATTATCGCTACTAAGAATTCGTTTACTTTTCGGTATCATTGAGTTATTTTGCTCTATTACACACCTATACATTATATACGTATACAGATTTGTTTATGTACACGTATGTGCATACATAGTATTTTCATCGACTTCCACGAAAACAAGTTTTGTTCTAGCAGTCTCCAGAACAGCCGTTTGGTCAATGTAGCCCCTAAGTGTTGTGCGACGTAGTCCATAGGCTTGTTTTTTAATCCTTCTGTTAGGTATACAAAAGGAATCCTATCAATTCTAAGATATATGGTGTCTTTCGGTAAAAAAAATAGATCAGTTATCGGTTTTGAGCAATCATCACACCTTTTACTAAGGTTTCCGTTTTGTCCCTGATGTGGTTGTTCATCGGTTATCACTATGTATGCGATCGTCCATAGTCACCATCGAACACATAAAGTAACCTCTTTTCTTTCAGTGATCTGATGCTGTGTTCCTTTCGGAGCTATATTGTTGCTTGTCCTCAACTAATTTTGACGCGTATTCTGTTTTTTGTCACTGACTCAAAGACTTCATCCAGAGTGATCACCATCACGAATTTCGATTGCTATTGTTAGCGGAGCGAAATCCGACACACGAATGCTGCTCCTGTCTCAAAACAACTACACGCTTAGTGAGCCTATACTCTGCTCATCCCTGTTCACGTAACTAAGAAATAGGTCTGTTTGATGGAAATGTCGAACTAATTAACCAGCCATACCGACAGTCTTTATCAATGAGCCAGTTATTTCGAGGTTTACCGACATTCTATATTGTTTTTCTTCTACCAGAACTTCGCCATCTGCATCGAGATGTTTTTCGCCGCCCTCGCTCACCACTTTTCTTTCAGTCATTTGCCGTATGTGGATCAAAGTGTACCCAACGTGGATTGTTGCACTTCTTGGTGGTCAATGTGGGATGTATCAGATATGAAGCGGGACCTGTTCGAGCACGTGCGCCATGTCGGTAAGTTTAACCTCTGGAGTTTTGATCGAAGCGTCGTTATCTGGCGCTATCGATTTGATAATGTCGGCTTACGAGTAGATCTTTCTTCCAAACTACCAATAGTCTTGGATGGCGAACAGGTCGCTCACCAAGAAATCTAAAAGGGGGATGGTTTTAGACAAGGAAAGGGCAGTGGATCTCAATAGGGTAGACTTCCAATACGAGAGGACTTTAATGATCCGGTGGAATATATGCTCCGAATTTGTTTTTTTTTGGCCACTGCAACCGAAGCCTTACGTGGACAGAGTGCACACACTCTTTGATCACAACGATACTAAAAGATTACAATTGTTTGGGACAATCTTGTACTGGCGCTTATACCATGCTTGAGGTTAAGAAAGTAGTAGAGAAAGTTATGCATGTTGTCAAAAACATGTGATTATAAATGGGGTTGACCAATGCCTGTGTAGCTTATTTGTATCTATCTAAGGGGAACTGACCATCCCACACATCTAGGGTGAGTCGTTAATAGTGCCCATTTTCAAAAAGTGCACTCTCAGTGAATGTAACCACAGGGATGTCAATTTGACTCCCGTTTGAACTAGGCTTGTGGTGTAACTGATTCCTTGGCATCATACGGTGACACGTGAATCCTTTACCCGTGACCATCGGCTGGGGGGAATTTCGGCAAAGCAGAGCGCGTCGACCGCAACTTCACACTCCGTCAGGCATTAGAGCAGCATCTTGTGCACAGACCCGCATTCTCGGTGTTTCTTGACTTTGGGGGTTACTTGTATTTTGTCTATGTGTCTGTCGTTTTGACCACACTTTCTCAACATGGTATGCTCCTGAAGGTTGTGAACAGGATCAGTTCCCCACATTCACATCTTGGCATGTAAGAGTAAATCTTGAGCTCCCCAAACGCTTTCCTATTACAAGTACTGTCCGACAAGGATTTCCACTCTTTCAAATTCGTCGTTCATGAAATGATTGAGCGAACTCTGGGAATTCTTTTTAAAACATTGGTTTTCAAATCTTTGGTTTTGATAATCTCGTCGATATGCCTGTACGCTGTATCGAACTAGAAGTACCGATTTTAGAGGGGTTTGGTAAACAATCGGTGGACTTATTGCTGGGCAACGTTTCGCTTTCGACACAAAAGCTTCGTCAGGCCAAGTGAGTAAGTAAGTAGGTTGATTGGGTTTTAAGGTAGTCGGGGAACCAATCCGTGAGATTCCTTATGACTAGTGACGTGATCAGTGCTGGGTGTGCAGTCTGATGTTCCTGTTTGTTGGTTAGTGGGGATGACTAAGATTTACGATAGACTGGTTAGGGGGGGTTCGTCTTTGTGATGAACCAGGATTTTTTCGTCCTTGCTTCTTCAGTCTAGGACACCTTAATGGAAAATTCCTCTTGGGGTCGTTCACAGATTTCGTCCACCTGTGTTCGTCCAAGGGTGCTGGAACAATGGTTTGGAGATGGTGGTGGGGTGGTTAATTGGATCTAACTCTACTTGGATTTTTTTTGTACTTTTAGACCCAGACGATTTCGCTGATAATTGCACATCGCCTCGTGTCATCTCGGCTGATGTAAGACCGCTCTCCACACGTTTGCAAGTGCTACCCCCTCTATTCTATTCACACCCGGATGCTTGGCGATTTCCACCGCCTCGGCCACCAGTCGCTGTGGTGTGAATCTTAAATCCCGTCTCAGGATGTCCACATTTTCTAAATCTATCCTATGCCCAGTGTCTAGAGCATGCCCTGCCATTGCTGAATCTTTGACTAACGCCTGGTATTCCTCTGCGTTTATCGGTGGTCTGTTAATGGAACGCTTATGCTCACAGATTCTGGTGTGCAATTCCCTGGCTGTCTGACCTATATAAACCTTTGTGCAGTCGTTACATTTTATCTTGTATACACAGTTCCTAGTCCTATCAACCGGAAGGCGATCCTTCAAATGTACCAACACCGAGCGTAAAGTTTTCCCCTTCTGGAAAGCTCACTCTCCACACGTCTGCAAGTTCTGCCCCCTCTGTTCTATTCACACTGGGATGCTTGGCGATTTCCACCGCCTCGGCCACCAGTCGCTGTGGTGTGAATCTTAAATCCCGTCTCAGGATGTCCACATTTTCTAAATCTATCCTATGCCCAGTGTCTAGAGCATGCCCTGCCATTGCTGAATCTTTGACTAACGCCTGGTATTCCTCTGCGTTTATCGGTGGTCTGTTAATGGAACGCTTATGCTCACAGATTCTGGTGTGCAATTCCCTGGCTGTCTGACCTATATAAACCTTTGTGCAGTCGTTACATTTTATCTTGTATACACAGTTCCTAGTCCTATCAACCGGAAGGCGATCCTTCAAATGTACCAACACCGAGCGTAAAGTTTTCCCCTTCTGGAAAGCTACTATACTGTTAGCCGTATTCAGTACCCTTCTAATGACTTCAGATGTCCCTGCTTTGTATGGAATGACCACTGTTCCGATCCACTCCTTGTTGGGCCTTGGTGTTGGCACCAATACCTGTCTTAGTTGCCGCTTAATTAGACCCACTGGGTATCCGCTATCTCGAAGTCGCTTTTTTACCTCAGGTTGTGCTGCTCTTTGGTCCACCTCCTCTGTACACAGTGATCTCACTCTTCTAAACATCGCTGAGGCTATGCTAGCATATACTACTTTTGGATGTGCAGAGGAGCAGTTTAAGACCGCACAGCTATCTGTTGATTTCCGGTATACAGTGGTTTTTAATTTCCCATTGCTCTTGCGTGTCATGCAGTCAAGGAAAGCTAGTGTACCCGATGTGGATTCTAGCTCCATGCTAAACTTAATGTGAGCGTCCAATGTGTTCAGATGTTGAGAGAATTCGTTCACCTTATTCCGCTTTATCACAACGAACGTGTCATCTACGTAACGCCAGAACACCCTTGCTGGACACTCGAATCCGTTTAGAGCTTTCTGTTCCAAGTCTTCCATGCACATGTTGGCCAAAATCGGGGATATTGGTGATCCCATCGCTAGACCTTGTTCTTGAATCAAAAACAAAATGAGGTTTAAGCATGGTGATCCCATCGCTAGACCTTGTTCTTGAATCAAAAACAAAATGAGTGAGGTTTAAGCATACCTTCATGCCTTCGACTATCTCGTCTACGGAGAGTTGTGTTCGTTTTTGCAGCGTTGTGTGTGCCAGTAAAAGTCTTCTCGCTACTTCCACAGCGTCCGCTTTAGGGACGTTGGTATACATTGAGTTGACGTCAAATCTCCCCAGGACTTCGTCTGATCTATCTGAAAACCCAGCTACTTTTTTTTAGCAAAGTCATACGAATCTTGGATATGTGTGGGTGATTTGCCGGCAAGTGGTTTGAGGATACCTGCTAGATATCTGGCCAGCTCATGTGGTGTCTTGTGGTGGTGAACCTATGCCATCCACTATTGGTCTTATGGGGACACCTTCCTTGTGAACTTTTGGTAACCCGTACAGTCGTGGTTTGATTGCACTTTTTGGGTACAATCGCTACCACTTGCCTTGCCCCAGATGGTTTATCACAGATCTTAGATACCTCCCAACTTCAACATTACTCTTATTCATGATTGACGTGATCGTTCCGTTACTAATTTGTCGGTAAGGACCATCAGCCATGTGTTGTCTGACTTTCTGAAAATAGTCACTCTTATTCATGACGACCGTGGCCTTATCTTTATCTGCCTTTGTAATTACTATGCTTTCTACATTTTTAACGTGTTTAAGGCTCTTCGCTCAGCTGGTGAAATGTTTGGAACCCCTGGTTGCTGGGACTTCAGGACTGTGACCAACTGTACACGTAATTTTAACGCTTCCATTGCACGAAGATTCTGGAATAGACTAAACGCTAGGAATGATCTCTTCTGCTCTTATAACACCCTTACTTGCTGCAAAATTTAATCCTTTTTCTAGAAGACTTGGAACAGAAAGCTCTAAACGGATTCGAGTGTCCAGCAAGGGTGTTCTGGCGTTACGTAGATGACACGTTCGTTGTGATAAAGCGGAATAAGGTGAACGAATTCTCTCAACATCTGAACACATTGGACGCTCACATTAAGTTTAGCATGGAGCTAGAATCCACATCGGGTACACTAGCTTTCCTTGACTGCATGACACGCAAGAGCAATGGGAAATTAAAAACCACTGTATACCGGAAATCAACAGATAGCTGTGCGGTCTTAAACTGCTCCTCTGCACATCCAAAAGTAGTATATGCTAGCATAGCCTCAGCGATGTTTAGAAGAGTGAGATCACTGTGTACAGAGGAGGTGGACCAAAGAGCAGCACAACCTGAGGTAAAAAAGCGACTTCGAGATAGCGGATACCCAGTGGGTCTAATTAAGCGGCAACTAAGACAGGTATTGGTGCCAACACCAAGGCCCAACAAGGAGTGGATCGGAACAGTGGTCATTCCATACAAAGCAGGGACATCTGAAGTCATTAGAAGGGTACTGAATACGGCTAACAGTATAGTAGCTTTCCAGAAGGGGAAAACTTTACGCTCGGTGTTGGTACATTTGAAGGATCGCCTTCCGGTTGATAGGACTAGGAACTGTGTATACAAGATAAAATGTAACGACTGCACAAAGGTTTATATAGGTCAGACAGCCAGGGAATTGCACACCAGAATCTGTGAGCATAAGCGTTCCATTAACAGACCACCGATAAACGCAGAGGAATACCAGGCGTTAGTCAAAGATTCAGCAATGGCAGGGCATGCTCTAGACACTGGGCATAGGATAGATTTAGAAAATGTGGACATCCTGAGACGGGATTTAAGATTCACACCACAGCGACTGGTGGCCGAGGCGGTGGAAATCGCCAAGCATCCGGGTGTGAATAGAATAGAGGGGGTAGCACTTGCAAACGTGTGGAGAGCGGTCTTACATCAGCCGAGATGACACGAGGCGATGTGCAATTATCAGCGAAATCGTCTGGGTCTAAAAGTACAAAAAAAATCCAAGTAGAGTTAGATCCAATTAACCACCCCACCACCATCTC